TTTTTTCTTCTTCTTCTTTTTTCTTCCTTTTTTGATCCCTCCTTTTTTTTATTTTCTTTCTTGAAACACATGTCGGCAAGAGAAGTGAACTACAGAAGGAGAAGTTATGGCGTGTCCCCCTTTTTTATTTTTTCTTTCTTTCTCCTTTTTCTTCTTTTTTYTTTTTCTTTTTCTTTAAATTTTCCTTTTCTTTTCCTTCCAGTGGTGATGAAGTCTTTAGTTGGAATATTCGAGAAGATTGGTACTATCTCGGGAGCCTGCACGTGTAGATTTGAGGAAGAGGCTAGAAGTTTCAGGACTCCCAAGTGGGTCGGTCCGGGCGCACTCGGTCGCTGTGTTGACGAACAACGTGTTTTGAGTAAGGAATTCTAGTGAAGGACCCGGGTTTTTTGTGAGCGAATCGATCGTGGCAATGCGGAAGTTGTGTAAGGCGAAGTAGACTTTGAAGTTTAGGACTAGAAGTTGCTTCTGTCACAAGATAAATAGCTTAGTTACATCGCCTCTGATACCGACAAGACCCCTGATGATCCTGGTTGGCGGCCAGGTGAAACCGGTTGGGTCCATCGCCGTTTTTTCAGCTCTTGCATCATGTTATATTTTTACAGCTGAGTCGCGTTCGGGCTATTTGAGGGTCTATCGCCGTTTTTTCAGCTGTTGCATCATGTTATATTTTTACAGCTGAGTCGCGTTCGGGCTATTTGACTACTATTATCTTGTGTCAACTTCCTCACCTTCCTCCTTCTACTCCTTTTCCCCCTCCTCTCTTCTGTGTGATGGTATCCTGCTCGGAGTCGTATTGATGTTGAAGTCATATGGTTGAACAACTAATCCTTCGGATTGTTGCTAACATACAAGTTGCAACGCGATTCCCCCCGCTACCAACAAAAAAAACGAAACCTGCATGCATCCGGCCACAACTCCGTCCGACGTCGTAGATCTCAGTGAAGAATGAATGGTCACGGAAAGACACTCCTATATATGGAAAGCACGATTAAACGGTCATAGAAAGACACTCCTATATATGGAAAGCACAATTACGACCGGACGCACACCGCCGTTCTCCCGCGACCGCCACCGCGCTCCCTCACAAGACTACCGGTCGGTGCCCAGTTGGAGACCAGAATTCTATTTCTCTCGCAACGACGCCCTCTAAACCCACTTCCCCGGTCCACGACATTCCCACGGAAAGACACTCCTATATATGGAAAGCACAATTACGACCGGACGCATGCCGCCGTTCTCCTGCTCCCTCACAAGACCACCGGTCGGTGCCCAGTTGGCGACCGCAACCCTATTTCTCTCGCAACGACGCCCTCTAAACCCACTTACCCGGTCCACGACATTCCCCAAATGGAAACCTCCCACAAAAGACATCGGTCTCTATACGCAGCCATCCTGGCTGCGAATAGTAGTGGAGCCAGGCCCTTTATTGGAGGGACCTCCTTTGGGTGTAGGCACAACCAGAGGACGGCGGCCCACAGAAAACCAAAAAACGAAAACGGCCACTTTTTTCACTTTTTTTTTCCCCTTATAGCCTCAGGTGAAGACGAAACGAGACCTACAGCCTTGCTCTGGCACCACAGCTGACGTAATATAGCACTTACGGGACCCCTAAAGCAACTAAGAACCAATGACAAAAGGGAGCCTTACTACTCCCTGCCCTAAATGGCGGGATGCATAATCCCACCTTCCGTTGAAAATGCAATCGACAGTTCCTAACAGTCCCGCACGGTCACATGGACTAGTAAACTATACTATTCGCTGGCATGTGGGCCGAGCTCCCCGGAGGTCGCTGTCCCTGTTCCCGCCTCCAAACTTCCCGATGCCGCATCTGCACCAGCTTCTTTTTTGTTTTCCTTTTTTTTTTTCCATCTGCACCAACTTACAGACGGCGCAGCGGCCAAACAACGGCCGAATACCTTTCTCGGCCTTTTGGCTATAAGACGAAGTGTAGTATCTGTTCTGATCAGTTCAATATCTGATCCGCGGTCCATCGGGCCACATTAAAAATAAAAAAACAAAAAAAAAACAACGGCCGAATTTTGCGTGGGCAAGTCCAATCGACGACGGGATAACACAAAAAGACAAAAAAAAAGAGTTTCGGCTGGGCCCGCCTTCCGTCCCTGCCTCCTATCCCAACACTGGCGCTCCGGCGTGGCGTGGGATCGTCACGCGAGGACCGCTGTTCCTTCCAGGAAGGTGAAGGGAAAGGGATAAAGGGAAGGGAAGGGATAAGAGATGAGACTGGAGGCTTTTTTTTTTTTTTTTTTTTTTTTTTTTTTGCAATATAAAACAATCATCTTCTCATTAATGCTAACGCGACCAACAACTCGTGTTAATGCCGACGAAGCCGGTGAAGATCTGAAAATAAGAGAGGAAGCATGAGTTTGCGGATAGAAGAAGCCCGACGACGATGAACTGTGGCATGTAGGATTTCATTTATTTATTTATTTGGCATGTAGGATCTGATCAAATAACTGCGAAGTTAATGCGGTTCAGTGTTCCCGACGATGCTGGCCTAGAGCATACTCACCACACTGGCATAATCGTAACCCTAAGTACGGCCCTACCTGGATGCATCTGACCTCAATTATGTCCAGAAACAAGTGCAAGAGTCCTAGTGCGAGTCCAGAAAAGTACAACAGTCGTAATGTGAGTGCAACAGTCCCTGCGAAGGTGTCAACAGCGAAGCCCAACGAATGAATGAATGAGACGGGAGAGAGAAGTCCAGATGCGGCGAGCGTGGAAACATGCCCTTCTTCCTAGAAGCGATGGATCGTGTCCATGTCGATGATGCTGTCAAGTGTTCCCTCCTCGAGCCGGTCCCACCATTTCAAAAGGAACGTCTTCACAACCAACCTGAACCAAGGACTGAGGGTGATACCTTCCTCGCCGGCATCGGCCTTCCGTACGATCTCCCTCAGCCCCGCTCTATCCACGTACCGCACACTCTCCACTTCATCCGGATTCGGCTCCAGATCGACATCCCTTCGCAGGATTAGCAAGTAATCCACTTCATGCTCCCCCCATTTCCCATGCGAGGGCGCCTTGTACTGGATTCGCCCAAGGACTGTGAACGTGTCGACGGGAATTTGCTCGGGTTTTATCCCCAGCTCATCCAACAGCTTCCGCTGCGCCGCATTCCGGACACCCAAATGATTTTCAGTGATCAGCTCCGACTCACGGTAAAGAGGATGACTGCAGCAGGTGTTTGTCCAAGCTAAAGGAAAAGTGACTTTCGTTCCTGCCCGTTTCTGCAAAAGAAGCTCGTTCTGCGAGTTGAAAAGGAAAATACTGAAGGCACGATGAAGCAGGTTATCTCCATCGATCTTTTCCATCAAGTGGCAGTTGTACTTGGAGTCATGACCAATAACGTTGTCGTTCTCGTCAACAAGAATACACTCATCTTCAAACATGAGCTTCATCTGATGTTCGGAGTGAGCGTCCGCGATGACAGGCTCTACCAAATTATCGTCCTTGGCCATGGTGAAGATAGCCCGCCGCTGCCTTTGTCTTCTTCTTGGCTGTTCGACACCTGCGGAGTCAATGTGCCAGCAATGGCCCCCCGCCGCTGCGACGCCGCGTCGCACACGAGTGTGGCATGCGCCGCCGGACAAACGTCCCTGAAGCGGCTGTTGTGCGACGCGTGCGACTCTCGTCGTCGACGATGATGATCGTGCGGCCGAGGCAGAGAGACCTCCTCCAGCCGCACAACGCACCTCCAGCGAAGCCGATGTCGCTATATTGGCCGTCGATTGCGATGAAGATGGTACTGACAGCGAAGAAGACGGCGATGGCGACGCAGTGCTGGGTGTGCGACAGTTACAGGATGACCATGAGTGGGCGACATGGCGGACCCCGTGTGCGGCGGCTCGCATTATTACCTCTGCTGTCCTCGTCGGAGAGGAACGCGCGGCGAGCCCCACCTGTATTGCCGTCCGACGCACCGTGGTCCCGATCCGGATTTCCCGCGCGCCGCGATCCGGTTTCCACCGCTATATATATATGGTATTATATATATACTATGCTCGAAGACGGAGTCACGTTAATTGTCGCTCCGATCGGCCAGGCTCTTCCGCTCTTCGCTGACTTGCTGAGCGTGTCGACGTGTCTGCGCGCAAGGAATGCTGACGTGTCAATGCGCCGCCAGCACTCGTTCGGATCGAGCCGCCGACCTCATTCTCCCAGCGCACGAAGAGAACTGAGAGTGCTGAGGGGAACTTCATGCTCTACAGCGGCGCAGCACGGCATAGACCGCGACGTGCAGGGATCCAGGCAGGGCGACTTCTTTCTCCTTCTTGCACTGCGCGAGACCCACTGGAGGCTTTTGGCTTCTGTTTAAGTAGCACAATTTCACGTCTTTTTCTTGTCTAAGGGCCTCGTTAGACACTCCTTGGGGACGTGAAATCCACAAGGACGTGCTCGTTCCACCTGTCCTTGTGAACGATATTGAAAAAGAAATGTGAAAACGCCACGAGGAAAATTCCTTCTGGCATCCTTGTGGCCCCAGCCATTTCTTCCTTGTGCCCAAGGGACCTCACGAGGTCCCTTGGGCACAAGGAATCCGCGTTTCACGGAGAGGAGAGGCACACTGGTAGATAGACGTTACAGCTGAGAAGCACCCTATTGGCTGAAGGCCTGAAGCACAACCGTTTTTTCTTTTCTTTTCTTTTTTTTTCCTGACATCAGTCTTAGGAAATGTCCTCGGGCGACATCCCCGAGGACAGGTGGAACGAAGAGCCCGAATTCCCTTATGAGCCACAAGGAAAATTCCTTGTGGCTCAAGGAACTCGTAAGGAGTGTCTAACGAGGCCCTAACTTGTAGATTTTTCTTCGATTACTTGGTGTTTGTTTTTTTCTTTTCTTTACAAAAAGGCTGAAAAAGCTATAGGGCCTCGTTCCACTACTCGCCATAGGCCACGCATGGCGGATGCGACTTCGTTCCACTGAAGAAAAAAAAAGAAGGGCCACTGCATCGCCCCTATAAAAATGGACGCTGTCAGATTTTGGGTCCTAAATCACTTGGCCATGTGTCGCCAAGGCTTCCCATTTCCCCTGTCGCCAAGGCTTCCCATTTCCCCTGCCTGCAACGGCCCTTCTTTTTTTTTTTTTTTTTTTTTTTTTGCAAAAACATGGCTCCGATCTATTTGTGGGGAGCAACACAAGCTGGGAACCGGGCCCAGCGTCCCTTATAATACAAAGAACCATTGGAATCTTACTTCGGGGCCGGGGTCCCCACAGTCTACCCGGAGAGACAGTCAACAGTACCGGAGGCATTATCCGGTTTCCCACTTTTAATCTATCTGCGTATGCTGAACAACGGTATGAACCAACAGCTACATGCTATGTAGTCTTTTCAACCATCTAGTTCCCCATCCATTCAAATAACAATGCAAGTCTATTGAGACCTCTCAGCCCTGTGGCCGTCTGGTCTGAGTGAAGTTCTAGCCTCTCAAGACCAACTGTGGAATGAGGAGATACATGAAAAGGAGACCAACAAATGGAAGCAAACTCAGAGTCACTGTATACTCGCTGTCCTGCTTTGTAGTCTGCGCCTGCTATTTTTACATTTTCCTACATAACCAGGGGCCCAAAATTGCCATGTGTGCCTCATCCAAAGTAACCAGCTGATTGTTAATCGCCCATGTCTTTAAGAACCAGATAGGACCTTTACGTTTCCTGTCCACAAGGATTGTATATCTCATTCGTTTCCGAATCAGAGCTTGTAGTTGACCTTTACCTGGAAGTTCACCGTTAAACAGAGCATTGTTCCGCGATTTCCAAATGACACTCATAATTATACCTCGGCATGTCTGCCCCACGTAGCCCCATCCCGATGAACAGTCTTTTATGTGAGTGCTCATTCCTGTTTGAATCCATTCGTCCGACCATGGAAAGGCATCGGATGAGAAAGCTTTCCAGTGCTTTCTCCACCATTGCCATATTCTGAGGGAGAAGGGGCAATCAGTCCAAACGTGGGTGGTTGATTCCCAAGCCCACCTGCATCTGAGGCATGCTCTGGGAACTTCCATTTTCCTAGAACTTAGCCATTCTGCTGACGGTATGACATCAAGAGTTTGTAACCATAGTAGGCTGGCGACCTTTTGTTCAGGCATCATCTTGAGGTGTTTCCAGTATCGCAGAAAATTCTCCTCTCTGGATAGCTGTGGGTACTTCGTCTGCCGGCGCTCAACTGCAACTGTTGCTGGTTTTCTTTGTGTTTTATCTCTTTGAATGGATACACCTGTGCTTGGTTTGTGTTCCGCTAGTGGCCTAAAGGAGCTTTTTCCTGTGTTATCTTTCCAACCTTGTAAAAAAGGTTCCACTAGGTAGGAGAGTGCCTCCACCATTGTGCAGTGTTCCTCACCTGATTTATCAAATTTGGAGAGAACTCTTACCTCTGTTAGGTCTGACCAGTCTTGGTCTGCTTGGATGCTTATCTCCTGTTCAAACTGCAGTTCCTGATTCTGTGCGGTGCCCTGGGTACGAACCCATTTTTGGACTTTTGTTCCAGTGGCCAAATCTGGGCCAACCGTTCTCCAGGTACAGTCTTGCTCATTTCGTCTGATAAACCAGGTGTTGTTCGTCTGAAGTAGTGGTCTTTTAAGAGCACTTGTTTATACTATGGATATTGCCGTTGTTAACTTCCTTAGGTTGTTGGCCACGTTGTGGAGCCTAGGTAACTTTAGTTTGAGACTGTCTGTCGAGATCCATTCCAGTTTGACTAAGTCCCAAATATCCCTTATCTGAATGATGCCTTTGGCTATCCATGCTTTACCAAAACAGCCAACACCGTCACTTGCTGGAAAGGGGGTGTGGTCGTCTTGAAGTATGAGGGGGTTATCGAACAGAGGTTGGATGAGTACTTCGGATCTCGTGGTAGGAGGGTCTCTAGCGGTGGGTTGGACTTTGTTCCAAGCGCATATGAAACTTCTCCATGTTTTGCTCTTGGGTTTTTTCCTGGCAAAGGAAGGGAGATCTAGACACCTCCAGACGTCTGATGGGGTAGAGAGGTCCCATTCCTCGGCCAAGATGTATTCTGCTAGTAGTTTCCATGTTTTGATTTGAGTTTCCATCAGGCCTTTAATGGGCCATTTAGCGAGTAGTGCTAAATTCTGTGCTCTTGGGTCCAAAATACCCAGTCCTCCCTGGTCACGTCTAACTGTGATCAATTCCCATGCAACTTTTGTCATTAATCCTTGTTCTTCTTCTGCTTCAGGTTTCCATAGGTATCTGGCTGCGGCCCTGCGTATTGACTTGTATGCCTTGTTTCTAGCAAGCGTACATAATGGTACATGGGAACCATAAGATCGAGAATGCTGCCGACGATAAAACTAGACCTCTGCTGAATAAAGAGAGAGAGAAACTTTTTTCCCAGTTTGTGATTCGGGATACTACTTTGGAGACTAGCAATGAGTCTTGAGTAGAAGAGGCGTCAGAGAGAGACTTGAATGCCCAGTAGACGTGTTGAGTTCTGGACTGGGACTCGCTGCATACCCCAGTCTGAGTCTAATATAAATGGCGATGGGAGTTAAAAAACTGATTTGTTCCAGTTTATTGAAGCTTCTGATACAAGGCAATAAGTGTCAATGACCTTGTGTAGTTCTTCTAGAGATTCTCTTTTGTTTGAACATGTTACTGTTAGATCGTCTGCGATCGCACTGCATTTCAGATGGATAGTGGTGGATAGGCGCTACTCAGAATTTGGGTCCAAAATCACTTGGCGATGTGTCGCCAAGGCTTCCCATTTCCCCTGCCTGCAACGGCCCTTCGTGGAGGCGCTACTCCTCACCCCTCCACGAAATGCTTCGTTTGGCCATTGCCCCTGACACAACGGTCATGACAGTCGACCTGCGTTGTCCCCTAGTGTTGGCGAGTTTTCGCTGCACCTGGATTGATTTCCAGTCCAAGTACATGGTGAAGAGAAGGCCGCCACCGTTCCATTAGCTCGCCATCCGCCACAGGGCCTAGTTGCACTACTCACAGTCCGGGGGCTCGGTCCCACCTACTTCTTTTGTTGTAGCTGCCTACAACGGAGCCACTGGTAACGGCGCCGTGGGACTGTTGATTGAAGCGGATCGTACAGTCCTCCAAATGTACCGACGTCAGGCTGTCGGTTGCGGTGGATACCGTTTACTGGACGTTCGCACTCCCGTTTGCCTGGTTCGTTGTAGCTAGGTACCATTTATGCAGCGGGGTACATGGCTACAACGATGATGTTACATTTTTCTTATTTGGATTCTCATTTACGTAGTGAAAATCTTGTCTACGGTGAACCTCGTTCGCTGCTCGCCGCCGCCCCTTGCGCTGACAGCTACGTTACTGTCAGGGGCGAAGCAGCAGAGGTGGGCGGAGGATGTGGACGTCCATCTACGCTCCCGTAATCTGGATCTGTCCACAAAAACAATGAAAATTCCGCTCTTGAAATGTGCACAACGAGAATGAACTTCCCGCTAGAACATGGGCAGATGCACCCGTCACTTTTTTTTCTTTCTCAAATTTCGAGAGTGGCGAGGCCCTTTATCCCAACGTCTTTCGAAAGCAGCGGCCGAAGCCTGGAGACGATGCCAGTAAAGGCAGGATCGTTCGCAAATGCACTCTGTCGATGTGGAAGACGTCAAGGACGGACAGGAGAAGGCAGACGAAGCGGGCGACGAGGAGGCGGACGACTCCGTCGCGGTGAAGAACGAGTTATCAGGTGGCTGGTTTTCGTCACTGCGGGACATGGACGGGGTCGCAAAGATGTTATCACCATCGGACGAAGGCAGATCCTCCCCAGCTGTCACCTCCAGCTCAGCAATGAAAGCAGCCTGTCTCTGTGCCTCGCCACACCATTCTCGAAATGTGAGAAAGACAAAACTGAGGCGGGTGCATCTGGCCATGTTGTAGCATGAAGATCATTCTCATTTTGCACATTTCGAGAGTGGTGTTGCGATGCCCTCTGTCTCTCCGAAGTCATTCTATCAGCCATCTGTTGTCACTCCATCCGCATCCGAGGGCTGTATCTGTCCACATAGCGTAGCCGCTCTGTGATCGGATCCCTGTACCGAGCTCTCTTAGGATCCCTTATGCAACGACGACGCCCTCCCTGCCCCATGAGTGGATCCCTGTACTGACGTCGATTAGGGGTCCTTCCCCCACGGCCACGTCCTCCCCGCCTGTGATCGGATCTGTGTATTGAGGTCAGTTAAGAACCCATCCGCCATGACGTCGTTCTTGCCGACGCCCTCGGCCATAGCCGGTAGATGCTGCCTCTCTCAACACTGGCATCCCTCCACGTCCTCTCGTCCCTCCTTGTGCACAG